TGAGGAAAGGGTTCTGAGAGCCTTGGAAGTGATATTCGTGATCACCGCGAAATTCTCTATCGAATGGTGTATGAAGTGTCGAAAAATAAATTTCACTGCAAGGCTGCCCTGGGTGCATCTTACAAGTGAGCATACTCTGAAAATCATCCTAAAACCTCACCAAATTTGTTGCTTTCCAAATGATAATAACAGAGTTTTGTTCAGTTTTTTATGCTCTTTCGAATGGTAGAGTTGGAAATTTAAAAAAAATTAAAATTTTATTAAGTAATTGTTAATTATTATTAGCTATTAATTAAATATTAATTAATTAATTAACCACAATATAAGTATAATTACTTTTTACCAAAATGTAGCCCATTAAAGTCTGCATCGAATGGTATATAGAACAACTTTCAGATGTTGTGAAATAACGTAAAAATTAGCCAAACACTAAAATGTGCTCTACTTTTCCCCTACATTTTACTACAGTATTTAGTATTTTGACTATAACGTTGTCATTACTCAATGAAAATCAAAAAATTTTTTTACCAAAATGATCAGCGAAAAAGCTCTACAAAAATAGATATAAGAGAAAATTTTTTGAATATCCTTGCTATTCGTTTATGTGTAAAAATAAAAAAGTCCAGGCTTTTTTCGGCCCTCAATGTAGCGTCAAAAAGTACACGTCGTCAGATGCGAAATACCAATTTTTTTAACATTATTAATTATTAATTATCTTCTTTTTCTGTTATTTCGTTTCAGTTCGTGGAGTTACCTATCATCCAGAGTATGACTTTGTCAACCATGTCGAGGGGATCTCCACTAACTGAGGCAGTACTTCACCTCAGTCGTTGCAATTGGAGCAGGATGGAGTTAGTGAGAGTAGTAGTCTGTCGCACAGTCAAATCACAAATGCGGAAAGTCCAGTTTCAGCAAAAGAAGCTCGCGTCCCCAACGATCTCCCACATATATAAGACCCGCTGCAGCCATCAGCGCCAAATATTAATCGAGCCCAGGTTAATCGTAGCCATAGTCGACATACAAGAGGCAGCGGTACTGACAGTGACGAAGCTGATTTTTAAAAAAAATCGGAACAAAACTTTCATAATAATTCGCATTATTGTGTTTCGTTACTTCTCTTTACTGCTTAGCGATAAGTTTAGTGAACGCAGTTTTTGTCCGACGTTTCGAATTCTAGAGAGAGACGTCTTGCTTGTGTTAACCTTTTTTTAAAGATAAAGAGATGTGCAGATATTTCTCTTTCTACACGTGCAACGTTTATAGCGCACGCATTTTTTGTTTTTTATGTTCAGTGTTGTAGTGTAGTTTTGCAGTGTAGTCACCTTTTACCTTTTACTTTTCACATTTGTTACTGTTAGTATATGCATGAGCGAATGCACGTGCTAGTAATAATGTAATCTAAAGGCACACACAGTAAACAGAGGAACAGAGGTAAGGTACTCTTTTCAGTATCCTTTCTTACTGCCTTTTCCGAACAGAGAAAAGCAAGGAGGAAAAGGCGGATCCGGGATCCATGCGGATCTACGCGGATCCGGGATCCATGCGGATCTACGCGGATCCATGCGAATACAATTTTATTGAACTGAACTGTCCCAGAAATCTCTGCTCCCACAAGCAAAACAAAAATGTTCTGTCCGTGGGAAAAGAATTCACAGAACAGAACACAATTGTCTCGTTATCCAGGAAATTCTCCCAATAAAAGAATCGGACTGTTCTGCTTCGGGAACACGATTGTCCTGATTCGCGACTCAGACTGTTCTGTTTTGGGAACAGGATTGTGCTGTTTTAGCGGAAGAATATTGAGACGGATCTGTGGGGATCTATACGGATCCGTGGGGATCTTTGCGGATCCGTGGGGATCTTGGCGATCTACGGGGATCCCGGATCCGCCTTTTCCCCCTTGGAGAAAAGTCGGGATGGAGTGATATTGTTCTAGCTTCTTTAGCAATGGGACAAAAACTCGTCACATGCTGTCGACCACCACCACCATCACCAGTAGATTCTCAAAAAGAACGGAAATCGCAGCACGCGTTGTTGCCGTCGCCGTCTCTAGAGCAACCGAAGCGGCGTTCAATTTCCGACACTTCCATGTCTTCTTCGCTACTATGTGAAATGCCAGCTGAATTACTTCTTTACAATATACTTCCGTACCTGACATATGTTGACTTATGTCATCTTTCGCAAGTCAATACATTTTTGCACAATCTCCTTGAAGCAACAGCAGACGAGGATTCAGCAGGTCATCTATGGACAAAGTGTGTCAAGGATGAAATGCTTGGTACGTCGACCGATTATTTGCGAGAGAGAGAGAGAGCTTTATCGGTTTTCTATATGACTTTTAGAAAATTTTATCGAAAGAGACATTAACATGACGTATGTCGCATTTGATAAAGAAGCGGTGAAGGCCAGTGTTCGTGTCTGTGCAAATAGGTGGCTCACGAGAACTAGATTATCACAGCATCAGCAGTTAATGGATGAGAAGAAGGTGATATTAACAGTACGACCAAGGTTCTATCCGCGCTCTACCGGAGGAGATACAGAATATCATGCTGAACAATATCGTAAGTTACTAATAACCGTCGCTACCCATCAAAAGGAAGGAAAGCTAAAAAACGTTTTTTTTCTAACCGCGAGCGCTCTTTCGCGGCGGATCAAAGCATAAGTCTGGGTTTCTTTTAGATACCTTGTCAACTGGTGCTACCGCCGATACTGCTCCGAAGGAGCGAGAGTTTCAAAATGAAAAATCAAAATTTCAGTATCTATTTATGAAACGAAAAGAACAGGTAAACCCGTGGACACAGGCTAAGAGTGTGAGGTGTGGCGGTTGTACGGGCATGTCAAGAACCGATTATAATTGGCAGTTGTACAGTCGATATATTACAATTTATCCAACAACAAATCCGATTAAACGAGAGCATGAAAAGGATAAGCTGTGTAAGTAAGTGGGAAGAGATAAGGTTTCACACCTGAGCCCGGCGCGAAAGAAATGCCGCTCACTTAGTTCGTTGTTTAACGTCCAAAAACATGAAAACCGATTTCTAAGGAAAGAAAATGGTGTCGTCTGGCTAGATGAGTCTGTTCGCTTTTCCATTTTTTTCAGGTATTTACTATGAACACGGTCAGTTAAACCCTGTCGCTAAGATGGATAATCACAGTCGATATCTGGTCACGGAATTAGAAAGACCTGAGCATGATCCGTACTGCCTGCGTCTGTATGTAGGTCTAATCAAGTGTCTAAAGTGTGAAAAGAAAGTTCTCCTTCCGCCACCACCACCACCAGCTAACGAGCAGCAGCCGAAGCCGTACAATTGGTACGTTAGCTACACATTGAGGGGTGCGCGACACACGGACGACAGACACGGTCATCGAATGGAATATATTGAAATTTATTGTCCTATATGTCAACGTTATTCTCTCTGGAAGTGTGATGCACAACCACAAAAATGGTTTCCAGCACTGGGAGGAACTTCTAAGAAGAGACCTAAGAGCTAAAGTTGAAGAAATTCGAGTTTAGTGGAAAACGTGAATGGTGTCGTTTTGAGAGACAGAAACAGACTTACACAAGGCTTCCTTTTAATCGGCATTTAACATCAATAATCTATTTCTGTTAGTTTTGCCAAATATTAATCGAGTCTAGGTTAATCGTAGCTAAAGTCGATATGCAAGAGGCAGCGGTACTGATAGTGACGAAGCTGATTTTTAAAATATTCGAGAAAATCGCATTTTGTATCTGCTTGGTTTAAGTATGCGTGAATTTGTAATTTATGTATATACTTAGTACCAAGAAAGAGTATTATCACTGTTACGTGCCATTTCAGACAGCCGCCGCCACAGAAAAGTAAGAAAATGATGAAACCGATACTTATCTCTAATATTTAATATAAAAGTACATTATGCTCGTGCTTCAAAATATTCCATTGTATATGATCCAATGCAGAATTGTCTGCTGTACAAAATGAAGCTAGATTTATTTTGGGACTACCATACGCGTGGTCTCTTTTTAAAAAATACAGCAAAAAATGCATATTTTAAAATATGAAATTTGCAGTTTTCTATTACTTATCGCTAAATAGCTACACATATTATTATGTCTAAATACATGATCTTATAGAGAAAACATCTCTCTTTCAAATGAGCCATGGACCAGTCATAGGAGCTTCGTAGTTTTGAGAAAATCAAATAATGCAAAGATTAGTGAAAATTCACGTTTTTTTGATTAATCGGCAACCCTCAATAGAATGTTTGGTCTCTAGTGTCTTAACAAAACACTTTCAGAAAGAGTTATTGCAGGGTTAGTAGTCATTTTGAATGACCTTTCGAATGACATTTAAACAACTAAAAAAAAGAGTTACCAGCCACTTTTTTCAGAGCATTTGCCGCGATGCTTAATTCTTCGGAAAAACTCATCGGAAAATTCTGTAAAACGTCTCACTGTAAAGAAAACTCTTTCTTCTATCAGATGTGTAAGAAATACCTTGCATCTACAGAAAATGAGAGAAAAGTTTATGAGACTAAAAAATTGAGTTTTTTAGGTTTTAAAGGAAAAACTTCGAAAATGTATAACTTTTTCAAAAACCGGCGTGCAGAGCTGGGAGTGGTCGTATTTTGTAGCCCACATTTTAGTTTAGTTTAGTTTAAACTTTATTATTCAAGAGAGAAATAAGAATGGTCACTTTACACAGATGCGGCCTAGGCCATTATATCAGAGGAAAATGACATGGTAAATGTTATAAGCTATTACATGTAAACAGCAAGAAAAAATAAAAATAAGTGGGAAAGAAGGAAAAAAAAAATGTAAGGATGAACAACAAGAAGAATAAAATGATGCACACTAAAACTTTGAGGCGCTGCACAGACGCTAAGCGAAAGCGCAAAAACTGTGTAGAGATCACAACAAATTTGGATGGTTAGTTTAAAAATTTAAAACGTTTTGTAGCAATTATGTAGTCTACCACTGATCTGGCTACAAGTCCATAAGATTCCTTCTCAAGAGATACATTAAGAGAGAGAAGAGCGAGATTAAGAGGATTGCCGTTCAGTAAGGATCGTAAACTGTTATATAAATGATTTCTAGAGAAAGTATAACGGGGACAATGAAGAAAAAAAT